GCACACCATCATTCCCAGACTCTGTTGCTGCCCTGGGGCAAGGGAGACCAGGGATGGAAACCTGGTCCCTGTGTTTACCGAAGCAGGTGCTTAATCTGCTGAGCTCTCTCAGTGGCCCAGTACATTACTAGAAATAACAACATTAACAACATAGTTCAACAGCAGAATCAAGAATTTATTAAAGTATTTGTTGAAGTAAGATTAATTGATTTTCTGTTTTGAAGAAGAAAGTCATTTAATTTTATAGTTCATAGAATCAATGTATGAGCTAGTATTTGAGGGATAGAAAGGGAAAAGAAGATTTTTCAAGAATTTCTGGATACTTCTCAATGGATGAAATTCATCGATGATCCTACCACAGAACCTGCATTTCTAAATAGGTTTAGTGAATCAAGAGATTATTCAGTAAAAGGCAGACCTACAAAATGGCCTGTAACAAGAGGAATGGAAACCCCTAGAAGGAAAAGAGATTGGGTTACAGAAGTTGGAGTCATAATTCAGGATAGGAAAGCTACGGATTCCATAATTCAGAGATCTGAAGCCATTAGATCTGCAGCCTAGTGAGTAGCAGCTTCTAGATCCATGGCCCAAAGAACTGTAGTTGCTGGACCCAAAGCCCAGAGATCCAGAGTAAGTTGTCTGGCAGGGACTGCAGAACGTGGACAGCCTGGGGCGGTAGCAGGATGTCTGGCAGGGGCTGGACACAGCACAGGACCTCTGGCAGCTGGTGGGCTCACAGACAGACTCCTGACAGCCACTGTAGAGGGAGGAGCCCAGTTGGCAGTTGGTGGGAGACTGGAGATCACTGGTGTAGACCAGGTTGCTGGGGTAGGAAGAGCTGCAGGAATTGCCTGGGTATTGCAGGTAGCCCCCAAAGGAGCGGGAGAAGTTTCCGGAGGAGCAGCCGTAGGACATGGTGAGAGGAGGAGTGAGTTCAGCTGAGTGTAACTGAGAAGGCTGTGAGTTCTAGTGTTACCTTCTGGAAAGGAGCCTTTATATACCCTCAGAATCAGGTGTGGTACCCAACAGGCTCATCCTCGACATATTCATACTCTGCTGCTTGCAAATACTTAACTCAGCAGTCTCTCCCTAATTGCAGTTGCATTTGAATAGTTTTCTACATAGTATATTTATGGCTTCTATAAAACTCTTGTTACCGAGAAATCCAGTGCACCCCTGCTATGTCAGAAATGCTATGACTATTTTATAGTGTTTCCTATTTCATCATGGCAAGGGAGCCTTTGTAATTCATGCTCTTATGATTCCTGCTTTGCTTCCTATGTCTCCACATTTGGCTCTGTTGGTGGGGATTTTTTCTGAAAATTGAAGAATAATATTAATCTTCATATTATAATTGATCATTTTCCACCTGGATGGGAGCTTTCATCAAATCAATTCAGTTTGTCACCAGGCATTCCCGTTCCTGAAAATTACTTTGTGGCAATATATTATGGCAGTGGCATAAATGCACTACACCAACTACTACAATTTTACAATGTAATTGCAATCTCACAATCAACAAGACACCAAAGCTAGAAAGAAGAAAAGAAACTATGAGAGAAAACTCTAGAGACTCAGGGTGACCTGAAGGGTGACCTGAAGGTCAGAACTGAAATGTTTCCTGAGAATTCAGTTTGGACTTATCCTTCCACAGCCAAAACTATGACATGGAAGAAACAATTCAAAGATCAAACATGATAAGGCTGAGGAACCTCAGACTGTTTTTTGTTGAGATCTTATTCTTGTCCCAGGGGCTCCATAATCAAAACTTAGATAAGTTTGCATATTTTTGTAATTTTGATAGAATTCCCTTTTATCATTGACATTTGTATTTATACCCCTTTATGCTGTATCTAGCCTTTCATGGTAGAAGTTTTCAATGACTCTGATACTTGCAAGCCTAGGAGTATCAGAATTTTTTCTACTACACTCAATGTGTAACTTCTTTCCATGTTCTCTTTTTCTTTGCAGAATAGATGAATATTTCTATGAGTATTTTTCTATTTTCTTTCTCTAATTACCTCCCTGTTTAAGGTTGAAAACTTTCTTGCTTTTGAGTTTTAGTGGATTGGTTTTTCTTGTTGTGTGTTGTTTGCCTTACCTCAGAACTATGCATAATGTTGGAAGGGAAGTTTGAAACATTTATTATGTTCCTAGATCTTTATCAAATGCATCTATATTATCTCTGAAAATATATTGAGATAAAGTATAACTTAATTTAAATTCAAGGCCAAAAGAAATATACAATCATAATGATGGAAACATGTTTGCATTTTATTTCTATTAAAATCTAATAAAGTAAATGTTAAAAATGTCAAATGTGTGCAATATTAAAAAACATATATAATGTCAATCTTCTAGAAGGGAGAGAAATGAGTAAACAAGTACACTCCTATTCAAATAGCCACTGTGTGACTACTTTATGTTTTTTAAGACAAAGGTCCTCTCTCCTTATCTTGTGCTAAAGCAAGAAGGTTAAGTGTCCCATCAATATGATAGTGTAAACACAGTTCCTTGCCCATGCTGTTTTTTTGTTGTTTCAAATATAACTTTCTAAAATAATCTGGAAGGCAAATGTCTAAGAGTTAAATGTGAAAACTGAGTTTGTGAGGCAAAACTGGGAAACCTTTTTTTCTTTTCTTTTCTGTTACTCCATTCTCCACTGTTCAGAACTCTTCTCTGAACAATTACCCTGACAAGTGGAATTCTTC